GAATTTTATCTAGTCTAAATTTTATCTTAGTAGTTTTTTTTTCGGACTAATAAATAACTCACACAAAATGTGATCGTTTTTTTTAAATAATTATAACTTTTTTAAGTTAGACATGGATCCAGGTGATCTAATTAAAAACATGTTAAATTTTTTTTTGTGAAAATTTTTTCTTATGTGTAAAGATTTAAATAATAATAATGACTTAAAGTGGATCTCTAAAAACTTTTTCCACAAAGGTGATGAGTCTACAAAGATTATGAGTCTAATAAAGTTATGAAAAGTTTTATTAATTCCACAAATGAAACTTAAGAAAAGGTTAATATAGTCTTATATTTTCTTTAATATTGTTATTTGTTTGTTAGCACGAATATTCTAGTATAACTGTGACTTCTAAGAAATTCTGTTATCTTCTTTGTCCTTAAAAGTAAGATAGAAGGAAGATTATATCTTAATAAGTTGACATTGATTATTGTTAGCGGAAAAGGGTGGCTAGAACAATAATTGAGAGAGAGAGTATTAAGAGACATTAAAATGAAACTGCATTCATAAAAATACATAAATGGATTTTGCGAAACATATCTTCCCAAATACTATAGAAACATAGTATTTATAACAAAAACTGAAATTAGTTAGGTTAACCAACCTAATGAAAACAATCATTAGATCATAATTATTAAATTGTTATCTAACACAACTCTTTAATTCAACAATTAAATTAACATTCAATTTCATTTTTTTTCCAATTTAAGTCGCAGTTTCTTTTTCCTTACTTCATTTTTTATAAAATGAAACCTCAATTCAATATATTTGTTTCTCCTATGATAAATTAGATTTTTTGCTAAATTGTAGGCTAACTTATTGTCTATCTTCAATGTCATAGTCTTTTCTAATCTTTCAAATACTCGATTCACTCAACGCTCGATCCATCGTGTTTGACAAGTTGTATAAGCAATAGTCATGTATTCAACTTTGCAAGAGGAGAGTCTGACAATAAATTGTAACTTTGAACACCATGAAATCGGTAATTTTTTCAATAGGAATTTCAAGCCTGATGTGCTTCTAAAACCTACTTTATTACCAGCCCAATCAGAATCAAAGTACCCAATCAACTCTTCTCCATTCTAATGTGTAACATTTGGTAAGAGGATATCATAATTAATCATTCCCTTTATATACCTCATAACTATAAGGTGAGATGCTTTTGATTTCTCCATAACACCAAAACAAATATTTGGTCTATTGTAACACAAGTCACATTAGGCAACCAATCATCTGTCTATAAATTGTAACATTTACCAGTTTTCCATCTTTGTCAAGTTTCAAATTTGTCTCAATTGGTGTAATTGTCGCATTACACCTACTCATCCTAAAATTCTTGAGCACTTCTTTCATATATTTACTTTAGTGAATCAAAATAATTTTTCTTTCTTTGATGAACTCCATTCCTATTAAGTATAACAACTTTTCTAGATCAGTCATCTCAAATTAATATTGCATCCTCCTTTTAAATTATCAATCAAAGTAATTTTATTGCTTATAATTAACAAATCATCGACATACAAACAAACAATTAACACATCATCTCCTTCTATCTTCAAGTAAATCTCATATTCGACTTCACATTTCAAGAATATTTGTTGTTAAAGACAACCATCGATTTTAGTATCCCAGATTCTCGGGGTATGTTTCAACCCATGCAACACCTTCTTCAATCTAAGAACCTTATGTTATTTTCCAGCTATCACAAACACTAATAATTGAATAACATAAACTTTTTCCTCTAATACACTATTCAAAAATACAGATTTTATATTCATTTGATGTATTTATCATCCTTTATAGCTTGCGAGAACTACAAATATCCTTAAAGTTTCCATCTTGGCAATGAAAACATACACTTATTTATAGTATAATCCTTATACGTAGAAAGTCTTTTATTACACATCTGACTTTATTCTTGCGATTATTTTGTCCGATTTCAACTTTATCTTGTACACCTATTTTATTTCTATTGACCTTTGATTTTTTGAAAAATTAGTTAATTATCATGTTTTACTTTTTTTCAATTGTCAACAACTTTTTTCTTTTTTACGGCTTCAATCCATTTAGAATTTTCGATTGTATCTTCAAAACAAACTAGATCATGACTTCATTCCACTTACAGATTTTTATTTCATCTTCAAAACAAACTAGTATAATGCTACATTACACTTAAAAACGTGCAAAAGTACGTGATTCTCCATTATTGGAAAAACTGCCGTGAGCTGGTATGCATAACATCAAATTTTCTAACAATGGCAATATTAAAGTGAATTTGAGCATCCACATTCTTCTCTTGTCGGCAGAAAAATTTGAAATAAACGTTTGTCCTAATATTTTAGTTTTTTCTAAGGGAACAGGAGCAGATGGATTGCTTGTTGATGCAAGTTAGCCATGGGAGTCCTTGAATAACGTATGATCTGTAACAAAGCTCGTTACTTAGTGTTTTTGAAACGTTTACGTTTTGGTAATTGCCTTCGAGAGTCTTTAGAACTTGTCCCATGGAAAGAGATACGTACGACTTTACAACTTGTCTCATGGAAAGAGATACGAAACCCGCGATTACTTGTTATACGATATCATGTTAGACAAATTACACACACACATATATATATGATTACCCTATTCTTTATTTTCCCATCAACATGAGATATTTAATTTAATCAATTTTGTGACGTGTTTTTTCTATGATTGAACGATTACAAAATAAAAATTGATTGAAATATGTTTATAGCTTTCTAAAAAGAATATAAAATCGTGGAGGCCACATAGCTTTGCCGTAGTTTATGGGTGACTCAGCTGGATTAATTTTGGGAATTATTTTCCCGTGTTTTTTAGAAATTTATCGATAATAAATTTTAAAAAAAGTACAGATTTAAATAAGTTGAAATATGACTTTAAGGAAGTGGATCATTATTAAATATAAAAATATATATTTTTTATAAGTTTATAAAGAAATATATTTTGTTACAAATATTACATTAATTATTTAACTATTAAATAATTATTAACATATTTTATTTTTATGGGTTTACAGAAACTTGTTAAATTATACATGTATCCATTAAAATTTCATGCTAAAATGGGAAACAATAATCCTTGTTTTGAAAATAACATCACATTATGTTCATAAATTTTTTTTTAAAGTGCCATACTTTTCTAACAAAAATAAAGATGTAAATGAAATAAATTTCTCCATGGATTAAAAATTATTTTGTTGATAAAATAATTTATACATATAACTTGTTAATTAAAAAAATTAATTAGTTTTAACTTATAAAAAACTCATTTTATAGTTTATTCTAATTTTTTTTTGAAGTGCAGGTTTGGAGATGCTGATATAACACAGCCAAAGTTTTAACCTGGGTCGGTACACAAGTATCATTAAAGCAAAGAGTATATAATTTTCATTTCCTGATTTTTATTGTCTGATTCTTGAATTTGTGACAAATTGTATTCCTCATTGACAACGTATATCTTGTGTTTTTTTTCCGTGGAGTAAATGAATTAATGCACGTGGCTTATGATTGATTGAGTGGATCCTTTACATGAAAAAATTATTCCATTAAATGCCTAAAAGTATTTTTCTCACGGAACATACATGCATGCAAACAAAGTCAATGTGTTTAAAAGTGTCTTTATTTTGTGTGTTAGTTCGAGATAACCTAATCTCCTATAAGTTGGAAATGTCTCCTCTGCTGAGATCTTTTATATTTTTACATATTATTTTAAAATATCATACATTACATATATATTAGGAATCTTAAAACAGGGTACTCCACCTCAATTTATTCTGTTTTTTTTTTAACACCCAAAAAAATTTTAATTAAAATATATTGATGTTGGATCAATAATATATTATTAATAAATAATAAATAAATATAAAAAAAGTTAAAGAAGATGAAATAATGAAAAAATAAAATTAAAAATATATAAATAAAAATATTAAATAATTATTAAATTAGGAGATTAAAATCATTCATGAAAATTATAATATTAAAAAAAAATAAAAAGATAAAATTATAAATATAAATAAATACATTAAATAATTATGAAAATTATAATATTAAAAAAAAGATAAAATTATAAATATAAATAAATACATTAAATAATCATGAAAATTTAAGAGAAAAAAAATAAATTATATAAAAATTAAAAAAAAATTAAAAAATTGTAAGGATAATGTCCCTCAATTCCAAATAATTAAAATATCATAATTAAAATGAATTATATTGATCCGCATATTGAAATCACTGGATCACTCTATAAATAATTTTTTATTTAAAAATTTATTATATATATTTTTAATTATACAAATAAATTTTAAATTTTCAGTCAATAAATTAAAAATTATCATATTTACTTATTAAAATATCTAAATATAATTAATAATTTAAATTTAATTAGTTAATTTTTATATTTATAATTATAATATTATAATATATTTATATATTTCAATAATAAAAAATATAATATTTTAATTTTAATTTTAAGATGTAAATAGTTTTTAAAAGTTAACCATACGTCAACTCACATTCGCCATTTTTAGACGGAATAACATATCAAAACTAACCCGTTTACCATCATTAGCAAATATTAAAATTTGTAATATTAACTATTCATAAAATAATAATAATAATAATAATAATAATAATAATAATAAAATAATAATAATAATAATAAAACTGCATAAGTGGTAGCTCGAATGTTCGATAAAATAATACCTTTTATCATTATATTGTAAATCATGTTTATCTCATTGTGTAAAAAAGAAAATTTCTTATATTTTTATTAAAGTATTTTATGTAAAAATCCTTACATTCAAACTTGTCGGCATTGTTGTTCTAAAAAATCCATATTTATATTTTATATAAAGAGATAACTAATCCAGAATTTTCTCTATACAAAGGCAAGAATTAACGCCAAAGAGTTATCATAGCAAAAGCTTCTTTAGTGAGAAAATGGAAGTGAAAGCTGAGATTGTGTCTAAGAACACAATAAAGCCATCATCTGCAACACCCAATAACCTTCGACACTGGAAACTCTCCCTCCTCGATCAATTGGCTCCACCATTTTACGTCCCTATCCTCCTCTTTTACCCTGCTTCCGATGCCAAAGACTTCAAAACAATATCTCACAAGTTGAAGGCTTCTTTATCACAAGTCCTCACTCTCTACCCTCCCTTTTGCGGAACCCTGAGAGACAACACAACCGTTGAGTGCAACGATGAGGGTGTTCTCTTCATGGAGTCTAGAGTCCCCATAGAACTCTCAAACGTTCTGAAAAACCCTAACCTTCACCAGATCAACCAACTTTTCCCATGCGATCCCTACAACCCTGCAAGGGAAACCCTGCTAGGAAGCATGGCAGTTCAGTTGAACCAATTCAAGTGTGGGGGTGTTGCACTTGGCGTTTGCCTTTCTCACAAGATCGCTGATGCTTCCTCTGCAGCTTCCTTCCTAAGCGCTTGGTCTGCAACATCAAGGTATATGTATATACCAAATCAATCAATCAATCATATAACTAAACTAAAGGATGAAGAGTTAGCCATTAAAAATTGATTTTCCGTATGCCATTTAATGTCACCGAATTTGACAGACCCACATATTCTAAATTTCGGTTGTAGATAAGATTCCTATCGCGCTGTTATTGCAGCTTCTGCGTCACTGCCACATAGTTGTTTTGGGTTCTTGAATAGGTTTTTAAAAATTCTCACTTTTTTATATTTCTTCATTATTACATATTTTTGGACTAAATTTAAATGTAATAAAGCTGATATTTTTCAATTAAATTTCAAATTTTATTTAATAATTTACATTTTATTATATATATATATATATATATATATATATATATATATATATATATTGATCTCACTATCAAATAAAGAACTCCTAAGTAATGTTTTTTTTTTTTTAATAAATTGCCCCCACTACTTCTGGGTCATGGATCATCAATAATTTCCACAGCTAATACTTAGAATTTCAATTTTTTTTTAGTGATAAAAACAAAATAAAGCAAGGTCAAGGTTCTGACTTCATTATAACTTATTCATGAATGAATTTGTGTGATTAAAAATCACAGCGTAATTACTGATAGTCGTAGAAAGTACAGCAACAGCAATATCTCGACAGCAACTACAATTGCGAACATCAGTTTAAAGGTGACAAATTTTAAATGATGTAAAAATGTTGTGTGATTAAATTTTGCAGAAGTGAAGACAACAGATTGATACAACCTCAGATGGAAGAAGGGGTGCAGGTTTTCCCACCGAGGAAGATAGAAATGGACATTACTCGTGGCATGATGGGCCAAAAAAACGTCTTGTCAAAGAGGTTCGTATTCAACGGGACCAACATATCTAGACTGAAGCAAGAACTGGGGTGCTTCGATTTCAACCCCACCCGTGTTGAAGCCGTGACAGCACTCATATGGAAATCATCGTTGGAAGCGGCGAAAGCAAGTTCAGAGGAACAGAAGTTTCCCACGTCTGTCATATCCCATGCGGTGAACCTTCGCAGCAGAATGACCTCAACTTTGTCGAAGCATTCAGTGGGAAATATGTGGCAACAAGCAGTGTCTCCGTTGGTGGAGGTAGAAGGAGAAGTGGGGTTGCGTGATTTGGGCGAGAGAGTGAGGGAAACGGTAAGAAAAGTTGATGGAAATTATGTGAGTAAGCTTCAGGGTGGTGAGTTTTATAAGGTCTTAGAGTCTTTGAATGAAACGAGAATAATGATCTCAGAAAAGGGTGTTCCATGTTATAGCTTTAGCAGTTGGGTCAGATTTGGGTTCTATGAGACAGATTTTGGATGGGGAAAGCCAAGTTACGTGCGCACCATCGGAGTGCCTATAAAAAACGTGGTGATTTTGATGGGCACGAAGGATGGAGATGGCATAGAGGCATGGGTAACGTTGACCACTCGTGACATGGTGCATTTTGAGCAAAATCCTGAACTTCTGCAGTTTGTGTCGTTTGAATGTTAAGTTTTTTTCTTTTCAATACCAAAATTGTTCTATGCATTTAAAATCTTTATATTATGTTTTATCTTGGTATTTAATAAATAAGTTCATATAATCTTATCGTAAATATGTTAAATTTGAATTAAAGATTTTGACATATTAATGTTGATCATGTCACGTATAATTATGTGAAAATCTTTAATTTTAAAATATCAAAACTATCCTGAAAATCAAAATAGTGTTCTTATTATCATTCATTTCTTAACAATATTATAATATATCTAATTTTATTTTTGAAATAAGTGAATGTCATATATATATATATATATATATATATATATATTTTTTTTAAAGTTGAAATTTAATAATGATAAATAAATAATTTTCATTTCCAAAAAATCTAAATTTTTATAATTAATATCCACATATTTGCATTAAGATAGTTGAGATTAAACAATTATTTTTGTTAAAGGAATCAGCATTGGCCAAAATCTTAGCCTTAATTAAAATATTCTTCACGTAATTATTGCTACAATATAATTCCAACGAAAAGAAGTTTTATTTTCATCATTTACTTTTTGACGCCGTCATTAGTGGAAATATAACTAACTTAGTTATGAATTTATATTTAATAACCGCTGAAAAAAAAATAACCGCGTAAAGACCATAAATGAAGTATATTTTGGTTTGTGCAGAAGGTCAACGGTGATACTGTTAAAATTTTTATATCTATATTAATATTGATAATTTTTGTCTATTAAATTATAATTATTAAATATGTATATTAATATATTTATAAATGTAATTTTTAAATTTTTATTTTTTTATATTTTTTATTATTTATTAATGATATATTTTTTTCATTGAAAATCAATTATCGAGATTTATCACATGAGAAGAAAATATTACAAACTAGGTAAATTTATTTTTAGTGATTTCAAATTGATTACAAGGTGGAATAAGCTTCATCACATTGAGATATTGTTTTTTTTTTTACATATTAACTAATTATTTTTGTTTTTCTTTCAAGATTTTAATAAGGGTTTTTAAGTTTTTATAGTTTTTTTAATTAGTTTTAATTCTATAATTTTAAAATTAATAAATTAATTATCGCCTTTGAAAAAAAATATGAATTTAATATTTTTTACCAATTTTATAACAATAACGAATATAATTAAAAATCAAATTTAAATATAAAGAATTATTAAAATTATATGTAGTAATAGTTATTGTAATAATTAGAATCGATTCATATTTTTAGGAGGTAAAAATGGATTAATTATTTTAATTTATCCGATTGTTTGTGAGGAAAAAAAAATAGATATGATAAACTGATCTAATATAGTGAGAACGAATTAAAAATTTCAGTCTGATCTAGTAAAAAATGGACAGATGGATTAGTGAATCATTCCATTCCATTTATTTTTAACTCAAGTTAATAGGTTGTAAATGTTTTTATAACGACAAAAATATGTAGACCAAGATGTTACCCTCCTTTTGGACCAGGATATTCTGCTCTTTAAAGTTTAAGGAATATTCGTGTTTGACCGTTAGGTTGTGTGTCTACATAAACATTATTAGAGTATAAGTTATATATAATAAATATGGAATAATGAATCGTATCCTATTTATAATATTTAATCAGAGTATCCTTGTGGACATGTCCATGACCACATTAATCACGTTAACTAATATAATTGGTTAAGTAGTGTTACACAATCTCATAAAGAATATACTTAATAGTATGGGAAGATGTTATTGCCATACTACCCTTATAAAATTCTAATCAACATTATGATCATAGTTGAAATAAGGTTTTTCTTTTTTTGACTAACGATTGGAATATATACTAAAGATATTTTTTACAGTTAAATCAATAATATAGAATCTATGAAATAAACGTACGTATGAATGAATAACAAACTTTGTAGGCAAAAGACTTTATCTCTAAATTTGATAAGAAGACAAATTATTTTAAATAAAATATTATAATAATCATATATTATAATTTTAATTTTAAATTATCTGAACCCTAAAATATAATCATAATCATTAATAAGATTTTTTTTTAATTTTGTCTCAACATCTACTAGTATACAAAAGATTTTTTTTTTATTTCATTAAGCTTCAATATTAATAATGAATTGTCTTAATTATTGTTCTTCAGATCAAATAATATATTTCAATAAATAATAAAAAAATAAAAAAACATGAAAGGATAGAGTAAGAATCACAACGATATAAGTTTCGCCTCCATCACTCCTAGGAATGGCAAAACGGGCCAGCCCGCCCCGTTTTGGCCCGTCCCGCCTTTGACCCGCTAAAAGCGGGGTGAGCTGGCTGGCCCAATATAGTCATGACGGCCTGTAGACCTTGGTCCGCCCGCCAAGGGGTGAGTTAGCAGGCTGGTCCGCCATAATTTAGAAAAAATATATTTTTTTAAATAAATTATTTTAATAAATTTAATAATAAAATTATTATTTGTTTGTCAATAATTCAATATATATATATATATATTATTTCAATTTAATAATATAAATCAATACATTATTTTAAGAAATTATAATTTAGAACAATAATAAAATTTACATAATAATAAATAATAACAAATATATATATATATATATATAAATAACGTTAAACTTATAAAATTTATATTTTTTATATTGAAAAATTTAAATACCTATATCTTTTTTATTTGATAAAACTTCATGTTATTCTTGGTTGAGTAATTCTTACACCTTTAATTCAAGTAATAAGGATAAAAATAATCAGTGCTTAGGATAAACAAGGAGAACAAGAGAGAAAATTATGTTTCAAAAAAGAGAATATTTTATGTGAGAATGAAACTTTTTTAATTCTCTTTTTAAAATTTTTAACTTTATATATTATCTTTATAATTAATTTTATTATAAAAAAAATTATTTTTTTATTAATTAGGCGGGTCGTGGTCGACTGTCCCGCGAGTTGGCCTGACGGGTTGACGAGCTTGGCGAGGCGGGCCAAAGCGGGCTGGTGGGCTGAAAACACCAACTTGCCTTGCATATTATGGCGGGCCGCCCGCGGGCCTAGCTCGTTTTGCCATCCCTAATCATTCCCATGCTTGATCCTTGTTAGAGTTAGAAATTAAATTTCTATTTTTTGGATTTCGGGTTTTCGTACTTATTCAGCGATCTATATTATTTCTAAAAAGTAATTATACTTATCATAAAATAATTTTAATTTTTAATGTATTTTTTATACATAAATATTAACATTTTAAATTATACAATTTGTAATTATTAATAATTAAATATATATTCTTATTTATTATATTTATATTAAAATATATATGTAAAATAAACATTTAATCATTTTTCTTTATATATATATATAGTACTTGTAATAATAATAATAATATTATTATTATTATTATTATTATTCCAAATTATATATGTAATTTATTTCTTTTTTAAGTTATCATTTAAAAATATGAAATATATAATTTATGAGAAAATATTTAATAATTTAATTTTTATTTAATTAGTTTAAAATAATAAAAATTTAAATTATCAATTCTTCTTAATATTTTAAAATATAATTATTTTATTATGATAAAATTTGATATATGATAATAAAAATAAAATCTAAAAAATATGATATAATAACACCTAATAAAAATAAATTACAAATAAAATAATATTAGTAACTACTATAATTTATGTAAAATATTAAAAAAAAATTAACTTTGTGATTGTCAATTAGTTGAAACGATTGAAAAACAACAAATTAATCGGAGATATTAAGGAAATGTGGAAAGGAAGAGAAAAAAATAATGTAATAAATTAATTAATATAAAAGATTAAAAAAGATAAAAATAAATTAAAAAATGGGTAGAAAAAAAGTAAAAATATAAATATAAAATATTGATCTTATATATAATGGAAAAAGAAAATTAAATACTTTAAAAATATGAATATTTTAAAGTATAAATTTAAATATAAAGTCGGAACATGGACAAGAATAGTGTTGGGGTTGGGATTGTGGTATCCGTCTCCAACTTTTTAAAAGAGAACAAATCCGAACCTACCTCGTATCTATCCAAGTCAACTCAATTTTTTCTCATCAAACTCGAGACAAAAATAAATTAATCCTACTAATGTGAATTTAGTTATCATCCCTAAATAAGAAAATGTACAAACAAGTATATTTAATAATATTTAGGGGATCAAAATGATAAATGATGATGCATGTTACAAAATGTATGCAAAAAAAAATTTGAGATGTAAAAAAAAATCAAAATGTATGTAAATTTATGTTTATATTTGAGATGTTTTGTTTTTTCTTCCTCTAACAACCATTTTATCCTTTTGTGTCTTTTGAGATTCTTTCTCTTTGGATTTCTTTAAACATTCAACAACTAAAATCAAATTGAGAATTTCATATATTATCTTTTTAATTTAATTTAAAAATATATTAATAATTAATATATTATTAAATTATCAATTTATTTTGTTTTCTATTCAAGGGATATAAAATTAATAAAAAAGATAAGATTTATGCACTTTTATTATTTCAAATAAATTTTAATTAATTAATGAAAATGTGAAAACAAATATAATTATTATATATGTACAACTCGATTGTTAAATATATCGAATTTATTAATATTATAATAATTTAATTAAAAGTTATTATTTTATTAATAAATAAAATTATTAAGTAGTTTCTTTTTGTAAACACATATTTGTTTGTATGTAGCACTTTCGAGACAAGTAATTAAATACTGTTGTTTGTTTCTCAGTTTCTTAATATCTTTTTCCCAGTGATTCAGATCTTTTTGACAACTCTCCAACTCGAGTGGTTAAACAACAGAGGCAGAGCAAACGAGGGTGCGTTTCGGAAAAAATGAACACTGTCCTTTCACCTTCAGCGTCTCCTGCTTTGTCCAAAACCTATGTTTCTTTTTCTCCCCTATTTTCCAATTTTGCTGTTTCATCTTCTTCCAAATCCTCGCACATTGAACTTCCCCGCAAAAGGGGTTCTCAAAACACTGCACTGCGCTGCAACTGTAGCATCTGGCCGGGTGGCCCTGCCTCTGGTACATTATTTTTCTCTCTTCTTTCTCTCTATTGAACTGCTAGTGATGTTGCTGATGTGTTATTAATGATGTGAAAAGGGTTTTTATTTTTTACTAGCAAGTTCTGGGCTTTTGAAAAAAAATTCCATCCTTTCTGCTGTTTCTCGTTGCATCTATTTGTTACTGGGTTATGATTATTTTTTCTTGATTTCACAAATGCTAAAGAGGCTTTTTAGCTTGAGGATTGGATTCATGGGGACTAAGGAATTACAAGAATGTCCATTATTTAGGGTGTGTTTGTTTGCGTTTCTTGCTTTTTAGATTTCAGAAAATTTTCCTTAAAGCAGTTTTCAAAATCTAATTTGTAGGTAGTAAGAGAGGTGTTAGGAAGAACATGAGTATCAGAAAACTGAGAAGAAACCAACAAAATTTGTTTTGGATTTTTTATCTTAAAACTGAAAAAAAAAAAAAAAAACGGTTTCAAAATGAACCTTTTTATTGAATGCGTTTTTTTTTTTAGAAAATATAAAACAATTTTCAAGAATAGGAATCAAACAGGCCCTTAGTGTATGCATTCGGTTTGCTTCACTTCTTTTCTAATGGTAATGCTTCACATAGTATACTGGGTCAATTATAATCCATTCTCAAGGATTTACTTTTTCAAATTTGTAGTTTTTGTTCACATACTGGTAAACAAGTAGTTTTCAGGTAATAAATTAGTCCAATTAAGTTCTTTATTTGTTAGGCATTTTATTATGTTTTCTCTCTCTAGTAAAGGAGTAACTGAATCGTGCAGATGACAGTGATAGCAGCAATAGAAGTATCCTGGATGCATTTTTCTTGGGAAAAGCTGTAGCTGAAGTTCTAAACGAGCGCATTGAATCTACAGTTGGTGAAATTTTGAGCACTGTTGGAAGATTGCAAGCCGAACAACAAAAGCAAGTGCAGGACTTTCAGGTATAGAGCATTTTAAATTTGCATTATTTTGTGCTGGATATATATAATATGTTGTCTCAGGTTTACCTCATGTCTACATCAACAATATCGTTGCCTACTATTTTGTATGTAAGTCTATTAATTGGAAAGTGATAATCTGCTTAAAGATTTTCAGTGGTAACATGATCCAGTGCTATATTTTGGCTGCTTTGACAATTAATGTTAGATTGTAACTCAACTTTTAGATTATAGTTCAGCCCTTTTATTGGACCTTTATCTCATTGAAACTTGTCAGAGCGCATTATTTTTTTGATGAAAATTGGCTGTTTTCCACAATTCTGGATATGTATCTATCAGTAAATAATTTGCATGTTTCTCATCTAATTGTCTATTCTTGTAAAGTGTGAACTGATTACTAAGCAAGCTTTCAAACAATGAAAAATGAAGGTTGGAATTATTAAAGAGAAATTCTAGATTAGGTGGCTTAACCATATAAGCTGAAAGAAAATTATAGAAATGGACTGAAGTAGACTTTTGTTATCAACCAATACAGCAGTTATGTACATGAAATCTGATAAATTTTGATTGCTGATCAAGCACACGCATATTTCTTCGGTAGCTGCTGTATCCTGTCTCTTAATAAGGATGAATAAAACATTGGATATTTATATATTTATATATTAATCCATTTAAATGATTATTTGGTCTTAAAATATGATAGACCGATGATTAAGTGGCATGAAAGGAAAAGCAAGGGAGATGAATGAGTAGGTGAGTTGGGGCAATAGGAGGAGCGAGGATTGAAAGGAGATGAGAACAGGGAGGGACATGTGGTAGCTGATGATGAAGGGAGAGAGGAAGGGTAGGGGAGAAATAACGAAAATGCCACCTGGTAGTTAAGGAGTGTTGCAGGAGGGTTTGTAAATCATGGGGGAATCATGAAAGTCATGTGACACAGGAGAAAGGGGAAACAGAGAGTGAGAGGGTATTGGAAGAGGTATCAGAAATCCTTTCAGGGAATTTTTGGGGTGCTGAGTAAAGGAGCTATCTTTATTTTATTCTTTTTTTATTTGATTATCCTGTAAGGAGCTAGTCTCCATCCATTAGATTGTTTTTCTAGGTAACCCTTGTACTGAGGGCACTTCCTATGGGTTCCTGAGGCATCTCAAAACCGTTTCAGTTTAGTATTTTAATCATGCTTCTGGTACCTTTACAAAATATAACCTAAATTTCGGCACATTCATAAATTTATATTTTGAAGTTGATTAACGGCTTTTGCATTCCGCTTTCTAGTATCTACCACTTTTACTGTAAATGTAGATACCTGCCTGTTACCTGTTAGAAAATAATAATGCTCATGCAGGAAGATGTGTTGGAAAGAGCCAAAAAAGCAAAGGAAAAGGCAGCTCGTGAAGCTGTGGAGGCACAAGGACTCATTTCAAAGTCTGCAGTTGAGATAAAAGTAACAGATTCAGGCAATTCCAAAACATCAAATTCCATAATAGATCCAGTCACTTCTGTTGAGTCTATTGATGTGCCTCAAACAGATACTGAAGCTGCCAATGAGGAGAAACCTAGTACTAGTTCAACAAGAGCTGAATGATCCATCCTTGTGCAGTTGGCCTCAACTTTTGACTGATTTATACTGAATTTGATTAATGTTCTGTTTTCTCCAATTGAAATATATTATCATGTTTGATAGATGCAACATAACTTTTTTCATTTTTCTATCTTTTCTTCTGGATATATTTCTTTTTCAATAGATGAATAAATTCAAATTCTGAATTGGATTGCCCCTTTTTCTTCCTTTATTGTTATTAAAATTGATACGACTACGTATTTTTTGGGTTCTCATTGACACTTACTATGACTATTCTAGTGACCAACTTCAATGTTACTGAGTAGTCTTCTATCTAAAATTTGTGGTGGACGCCCACATGGTCCTTAACTATTTACAGTGCAATAGAGCTCATTGTTTCTTAGATACCAAGGTTTTATTGTGAAGTTTTTAACATTTATTAGTGTTTTTAACATGATCTGAGAGTCTCGGTTATATAGAAGATTCAATATTCCTTAACAACTGATGGAGCAGTAGAGCTTTTTGTTTCTCAGATATGAAGTTTTTTTTTTTTTATTGTGAAGTTTTCAACATCAGTATTTATAACATGATCTGCACGACAAAAGTCTCTATTACATTGAAGGTTACCTAAGTTATAATATGCCAATTATCTGAAGCTTGTAATCGTGGACACAACCCAAACCAATGTCAATTTTATGAACAGTATAGTTGAGAAAATATCTTATTATACACCTAAAGTTATTCATTTCTCATTATTGGTTTTGCATGTTAGATGCAAATTGAACCACTTTGGCAAACCTGTGTGTCTTTCTTGGTCGTTGGAGATAGACATTGTTTGCTATTTGAAGAAAATTTGCAATTGCTTCTATCATATTCATCATAAACCATTTTTCATCAGTTTAGTAAAGTTTCTACAGAGAAGTTCAATAATAATAGGTTCAAAGACTGTGTTATATGATGAAATATTTTCTCTTATTTCTGTACTTCCATAATTTTAACATTTTTGAAAAAGATCTATTATCCTTTTTGTTGAATTGGTTGATCAGGAAAATTTATGAACCAATGGACATAGAGTTGTTATAAATGTTGTAAAGGTGCCTGATAATTACTGTTGCTTCAATGACCCGGAAAGAGTCCCCGTGGAATCCAGAGGTTTTATAGTTTTTGTTATTATAAATGATTAAATATTTTATAATAATTTTTTAAAATAAATACATTTTATAACTTTTATTATATAATTATTATTATAATATTCATAATTTTTATTTATTTATTTTATTTATGAATAAACTACATAATTTTACAATTAAAAAATAGAATTCAAAAATATCATAATATATTTAATTGTTATAAAATAATCTTCAAAAATATAATCATATTATTTATTATTTAATAATTAATTCTAAATTTAATTTGATTTCGTTTAATTTTTAATTTTTAATTCAAAATCTGAACCAAATTACACTATCTAGAAAAAAGTTGATAAAAAAAATTTAATAAAATTTTTGTTTTAATACTTTTTTTTTATTATTTTTATCTATACTTTCACATGTTTATACTCTGTCCCGCTCAAATGTCCTTTGATCAGTAATCCGAAAATTTATTCTGCACGGTTCTAAATTGACACTTTTCAATATATAATTAAAAAATATATAAGTTTTGAAATGAATAATTTAAGATATTATAAAAATTTATAGATTCAAAACAATCAGAATATTTAAAAAAGAATATAAATTATAGAATAAACCATTCAAAAAATCCCAGAATTCATAAGTTCAAAGACAATAGAAGTTTCGGATTGCATTACTTGGAATCTTGCATGTTCTCTCTGCTTCAAGGCTTTTTGGGTTTTTTTCCTCCAACCTCTTTTGCAAACCCTAAACCAAATTTAAACGTAAACCATGTACAATTGAGCTTGGGTTAAAAAATTAAAAAAGTTATGATTAAACAATTAGAAGGTAGTTTGTGAAGGTTTATTTTGATAGCATTTTTTGAGTTAATATGTTCTGATAGAGTTAAGAGGAGGAAGCTGTTTTGGGAGAAATGATAATGTGTGAATATGATTTGATAAAAATTCGTGGAGGAAGAGGCTCCTTAAAATATTTTTAAGTGAAGTTTTTAATACGAGTGGTTGAAGAATAAAATTAAAGATTTTAATATAGATATTATATGTTTAACATTTGGTTAAATAATTTTTTTTATTTTAAATAATTTAGACGTGAGATTTATAATAAAATATTTATTTTTAATTTTAAGTAACTCTTAATAATAACTTCTTTTAGATGTATTTTAAATTATTAAATGAAATATAGATAACCAGATTTTAAAATAAGTGGATAAAAGAAGAATTCCATAAATTTTTTTTTTCATAATCAAATTTTACAAACATTTTATAAATAATTTTAAAATATTATTTAAAAATAAATAAATAATAAGATAAAAATTTAAAAATAAATTAGAATGATTTTATTTTTTTATTAGTAAGATTTAGATTAATAAGGTAAAAAAGTTGTGCAAAATAGCATTTAAACTGAATGTTATGAGAGAGAATTCTCATTATATTTGTAGATAATGATATGAAAATAGATCACATTTTTTATAAAATAGTATAAAAATATAATTATTCATAAATTATATGATATTTATTTTTATTTTATTGATTATATATTTAATATTTTGGATTATGTTAAATATTAATAAATTATATTATTTGTTTTAGTTTTTAAGACGGATATATATATATATATATATATATATATATATATATATATATATATATATATAAATAATTGGTATATGATTTATTTTATATATTTAACTAAATTTTAATATTAGTGTGAAAAATATACATTTACGTCTAACTGACTCACGCTTATCACATCATTTTATATTACAACTTCATAATTTAACATAAATTTTCGGATTAATATATCATCAGTCATATAAGGAGTTAATGTAAAAATAAAAAATAAAAAATTAACTTACATTTTTTATTCATTTTATTTCTTATCATCCAAAGTTCCAATTATTGAATTAAAAGTTATAATTAAGTTACAAACAATGTAGTTGTTTATATTTAAAAAAATTATATTAACATCACATTGTTAAAGATAAAAAATAACCTAATAATATATACACGAAGAAGCATAAAAGTAAAAAAGAGGAGACATTTGAGTGATTTTTGTTTATATTAACAAATTTGTGATTTAACGAAAAAGTCATTTAGATGAACATTTGTCAAATTACTCGTGAAATAAAAAAGATTTGAAGAAAAAAATTAATGTGCAAAATTGAAATTTATCTATTATTCTTAAAAATAACTCAAAATTATTATTCTTAAAAATAACTCATAATCAGTTATGTGGAAATATATATTTAATTATGTGATTACGTGCTCCATTATTTGTCCGTAACTTTAATCAAATTATTTCTTCTTAATAATTATTCCGTTTGCTTAATTTTAGAATAATATTATATAAAAAATGATTAAAAATATATTTTCATAATATTAAAACATTAATTTTAATTTTAGTATAGATAGTTGGATGAAAATAAATATTTTAATTATATAATATTTTAGTTGTAATATATATATATATATATATATATATATATATATATATATATATTAAAAATATAATAAATAGGTATTTTTTAATTAGTAAAATTTATACTGCCAACATCAGCACCTGTCTTATCAAACTTCAATGCTAGGTTGGACTTCCTTCTTCCAAGACAAATTTGCATCGAATTTCGAAACTACCTTTTCAGTCAACTTTTACACTGAAACTTCTTCTTGTCCTCTTTTTCTCTCACTACTCAGTCATTGCTTTTATCTTCTTAGACTTAGCGGTTCATGGATATTGAACCTTTGTGGCCTCTTGGGGGTCTTTCATATCTGAAATTGCATGGCACAAACTATAACATCATCAACACATTCTGCACCCTTCTCAAACTCATACCCTTTCTTCCATTTTCTTACCTTTCTCTTCATTTTCCTTCTTCTCTTCAATTTCTCCCATTCTTCTGCCATGGCTTCCTCAGAACCTGTTAAGTCATCAGAGTCAACTATGGCTACCACAAACTTGCACCCTCTTAAACCCAAGAACAGTGGTAGTTCATCAAAGGGTGCTGGCAGAGAATTTGCAGCAAAGGCACATGAAGTTCCAAGTGGTCCAAACCCTGTTCAAAACCGGTAAGAGACTGCTACCAAAACAAACAATCCATATACCCAGCTTGCTAGTTAAAGATTACAGGGATATTTGTAGCAGCTGAATGATTGTAATTGTTGTCATTTTCATTGCTATTGTTTTAGTTTAACATTAATATAATAATATTGCTTTTTCCCTGAGGTGTTTGTTAGTCTTCTTTGTATAATACTCTTCATTAGAATAATTAATATTACTTTTCCTGTTTCTTCTTTGGGACAAAAACAAGATGTGTATATAAAATAATTCATACAAGTTTATTTAAATAATATGATTATTTTTTTTAAATCTTTATAAAATAAGTAGTTTATGAAATAGTTAATTTTAATTTATTATTTCCTTTTTTTCTAAAAAAACACTGACAGAATAAGGTTGTTCCTTAATTTAGGAGTGTTAAGGCTACTTAGTACAACATGATTAGTAAACTTTTATTTTTCAAGACAATCGAACAATGAAAATTCCTGCATAAAAGAAACATATTAATGATTCCTTCAAAAATATTTTGTTGATTTTAATATACAGCACTTTAGAAACATATTGATATTCAATCATTGTAGTCAGAGTTTATGTGAATCTGTTGAAATTATGAAGTAAACATTTAATTTAATAATAGAATAAATATGAGAATCAAATTAAAATATTTATTAGATATTGAGAAGAAAACATAAAAAATAGTAATTTTATTTAATTAAAGAAAACTTATAACATTTATATTTTACCTTTTTAAATAAAATATTTTACTTTCACTTTTTTAAGTCATACTTTTCTTTTTTACGAAGCATTTCAGAAAACTGTTTACATGGTTTTCACCTCATT